GGGAATCTAATTTTTGGATAGCTATCGCTATCGATTTTGGCATGATAATTGCCGCAGTTTCATGACGCCGTGGTGGATGTGAGTTGACCAACAAAGATTACTATCCATAGTAAATCCAAGTGATTTGATAGGTAACATCCAAGTTGAAGGATTGCTATTTATCACTGTCGGGTCTGTGGAGACTGAGCAGAATGAAAAGGAACGAATCTAAAACTCAGCCCCGAGGAGAGAATGGAGATTTGCAAAAATCGATCAGTCAACAATCTTTGATCGATTAGTGGCCTCGTAAGAATGGTGCAAAACACATGTAGGCGAAACACCGGGGATATTGCAAATTTCGATCGGGCCAGTACAGCTACTCAGATCGTTCTGGAATGGTTGCCCAAACGGGTTAGATGAAGTTCTCCCCAATTTCTCAATCAGTTAATTAGTTGCATGGGCAAGTGAACAATTGCTTGGGGTTAATTCACGACGATTCCAATTTCTGTTACATTGTTGACCGAAAAATGAAGTTAAATGCTGAAATGATTTCTTAAATGTTTCAACAGAGTGGAAGGCTTAGTTATAAAAGCTTGAATATTCCCATGATAGAATTGAGAAAACGAGTCGGTGAGCGAATAATCGTTTTTGGATATTTCTAGTCATGCTCATACATATCATACAGTGGAAAAATTCTTACATAATCATAGCCATTGGCTCATTTTAAAGTCAATTTTCGGAGGTAGAGAGTAATGGGAGTGTGTGTAGGTGTGTAGGAAAGTTTACCGTGTGTGATGTCATTTGGGTCAAGTGACACGTCATGTTCCGTCTTGGTTTTCACACAACCAAGGCAATTGGAGCGCTTGCACCAATCGCTTTTGGGCACAAAGGTCGGGGTCTAGTAAGCGAATGGCGATCGCCTCGGCCATGGCCAGTGTCCAAACTCGGGCCGCCCTTGAGCGATTGATTGGGATGCGATAAACCACACCAAAAGCTTTCACCGGATCGATCTTGTGGCCGGTGTCGACGAGATGCTCCACAATGGCACTTGAGATACAGCCGGTTTTTCCCTGACTCAACCATCGCAGGTGGTGCTCCTTAATACGTTGAGACAAACACCCTACCGTACGACCCATGTAACATGCGCCACAGACAGAGAGTAGATTATCATGGACGAGGCCAGTTTCGGCAGTTTGTCTTTCATCTGCATTCGCATCACCGGCGATGTAGAGAATACTGGTCTAAGTTTTGCTGCGCGGAAGGTGGAATTTACAGCCGTTTTCAGTGATTGTACTAGGCTCTCGGTGTGTGAGTCCCCCTTAAATGGGATCCTTATGAATGGTTCTTTCTTGGGGGACACAGATGGCGTTTTCCTTCTCCGGAGTGGGCCGAACATTCTTATCGATCAACTTTTCCGGGTAACCATTGTCCTGCAGCGTTTGGCGGATGAAGCGTAGTTCTTCATCCAGTGTGTTTGCTGAACAAATCCCCCGGGCTCGGAAGACTAGACACCGGACTAGATTGCGTTTATATTTCACAAGAACGAAACTATGGAAGTTGTCATATTGGCCATTCCATGTTTTCTTTCTGTGGATCCGCCTTCTCACTGATCCATCTTCTTTCCTGGACACGGCTACGTTCAGAAAGGCCAATATGTTGTTCGTTTCAACCTCTACAGTGAATTCCAGTGATGCATGTGCTTTGTTAGATAATTTCAATATCTATTGAATGTCATGTTTACGATCGGTCACACAGAAGATATCATCAATATATTTACTGTAGTGTGTTAATCCTTCAATAGTTTGGCTCAGCGAGCTCCTTTCCAGTTTGGCCACGAAGAAGTCAGCTAGCAACGGACCAAGTGGCGATCCCATAGCAACCCCGTCACTCTGACGATAGATAGTACCGTTAAATAGAAACTGGACGTTACGTGTGCAGCGTAATAGCAATTTCTTTAGATTGGTAACCGGAATATCAACGTCCACGTTCAGTGCTTTTACTTGATCACAAATGAATTCCACTGTCTCCACCAGGGGTACATTAGTGAACAGTGAGATCACATCTAAGGAAAACATCGTCTTTTCTTGCAGGTCCAGGTCTTTTATTCCGCCTACAGACTGGAAACTGTCTCGGAGACTGTGTGTGGCGAATGTGCGACGAATGGGTTCTAATAATTCGACCAACCAATTGCCATTGCTTGATATGGTGAATTTACCATTGCCATAATAGGTCTTATTGGAACTCTCTCTTCATGGATCTTCGGGAGACCATACAGTCGAGGGATGGTGAACCCACATAGTTTCAGTCTCTCCTATGCAGCATTGTCCATGTGCTCCTGTAACTTTAGCGCTTTTAGTAGATCTGTGATTTCACCCTCCACCTTCTCTGTCTCATCCTTTTCTTTGTTACATCTAGAGAACTTTCTGTCATCCAAAATTATTTCAGAGAGCTTTTGAACATAATCATTTGTGTTCATAATAACCACGCCGGTGCTTTTATCTGCATTTAAAGTGGATCTGTTAGGCTTAGAAGCAAGCTGTTACGAGTCATTGGGAATGCGATAGGAATGTTTGTGATAACCGACAACGAGCATTGGACAGCTGTTCCGTCCTTGTTGGGACTCATTAGGAGTCAGTAAAGTAAAGCAAACTCAAGTAAAGCTTTATGCACCCAAGAGGATGACTTTCTAGCAGTTTCGACAAGTTACAGTGAGGAAAACGTTAAGCATTGATAAGGGGAAGAAATATACATTTACTAATCGAAAAACAAACAGATTAGATAAAATCCTAATGTGACAGTTGATTGTTCAAGTCAGTAATAGTATGTGCTCCGTTGATCAAGATGCGAGCAAAATAAGGGAACATGTTGTTTTTATGCGTGGTGGTGCGTGTATAAAGAATCCGAAATTGGGAACGGGTACTCGGATGAGATATCGATTTTTTGAGATGGGAGTTCAGGCAGTGTTCTTCATTGGACAGCATATGGCTGATAAATCGATCGCCCGAATCAAAATGCTTGCTCACAATGAAGTCAACCAAAAGGGGCCTTTAAAGTGCCGCTGCAACGAGAAAAAAGTTTAAGAGATCTGGAAAAGAGAATAAAGTCTTTCTCCTTCAGACCAGGAAACTATACGGTGGAACAGTACAACCAATGTGAAAGAATGCAAGCAGTCACAAATTTAAAAATGACATTTGAGGGAACGTCGAGCTTTTTAAGCCTAAAGGCGTAGAATGATCGCTTACGAACCCGAATATAAATGTTTTCAACACGTTTGGACCAAGAAAGATTGTGTGACAAAGTAACTCCAAGATATTTCACAGGGTTAACTTTGGGGATGGTATTACCGTTAACAGAAAGTTCAGGCTGATTATTCAAAAGGGTTTGATAAGGCATGCCTGTTTTAAGGCTAAAAGAAACTTCCACACATTTATCTACATTTAGCATTGAAGATCGGGGAGTCGACCCACTAAAAATTTTATTTAGAAGTTGAATGAAACAATCAGGAATAGTCGAGGGACAGCCGACCACCAGGTCATAAGCATACTTGCAGGCGATAAAGTTGGGAGAGATAGGAAGGTCCTTAATATACAGTGAAAAAAGAAATGGAGACGAAATTGCACCCTGAAAAACTCCAGATTTAACTCCTAGCAAGGAGGGAGATTTACTGTTACAAAAAGTGTATTGCGTCCAATGAGTGAAGTAATTAATTAGTATATTCAGTAAATTACGTACCAGACCACAGTCCGAAAGACATTGAATGAGAATGCCGCGGTCAAGTGATCCGAAAGCATTTGCATAATCAAGAAAAGTTAAACGGACGATGCCAGCCCCTCTATTCAATAAGGATGAAACGGAATGAACAACGTGAGCAACAGCATCAAGAGTGGAAAGCGAATGTTTGTACGCAAACTGAATAGGGTCATGAATGACAGATAAAAGGGTCAGCCGGTTAAGAAGGACTCTTTCAAAAACTTTCAATAATGATGTGCAGGCAACCGGTCTATATTTGGAAGATCCTTTTTGGGGAATTGGTGTTATCCGAGCAGCTCTCTAACAATCAGGGATGCTACCCGATGACATACCCAAATTGAACCACTCGGAAATAGGTGCAGTCAGTTGTTCAGCACACTCTTTCAGTAGGAAGGGGGACAACGAATCAGGGCCATGTGCCTTGTTAGATTCAAGGGACTTCTTCCCAGTAGATGTAAATAAAGGTGGCATTGAGTTCCGTACAGTAGCATTTGCAAACTGAAGGTTTAGCTACTCAACATCGGGAAAAGATCCTTTGCGTGATCCACAGGGCCGCTTCAAAGCAGACCACATATCGCGGCAGCTCTGGTTTCCCATAAGAGTTTTGATATATATCCGATTGAGGCGCTGTATTTTCATTTTGATCAATAATGACAGATCTTTGGCAGCACTGCGACTTCCAGCCCTGTAAGCCTTTTCTTCATCACGACGAAGCAGTTTTAGAAGAGGCGAAGAGAATCTGTCACTTCGAATATATAAGGTCTCAACTGAGCAACACAGATCATAGCAGAAATTAAGATGAGATGTAAGATGCTCACCACTGGAAGAGTTGTCATCATTGGAAAAGAAAGTGGAATCGGTAAATGAAACCCTATCTTTAACTTTGGATAAGTTTTCAGGAGTGCGACATCTCCTTCGGATGGTTCTCGATGTGGAACGGTTCATATGGTGCTGAAAATATTTACCGTAAATCTTAGGGTTCAAAACAATAGAGCAATGATCGGAGCTGCCCATGGGAGCCCGCTTCTCAATGAAAAAGATTCCGGGGCTATTTACAAAACTCCCGTCGAGTTGGACACCAAGCCGGGAAGGAAAATTTACGAGATTGGTCAAGTCCAAAGTTGTAAGGAAAGAGATATTAAAAAGACTAAAATCACCAGCAGCAATGCATATGGAGTGGTCTAAACCGGTTACAAGTTGTGAGGTGAAGGAGTCGACGAACAGACGAACATCAGAGGCAAGTGTGTCGGGAGCGATGTAAATGTTCGCTAATATAATATGATGAAAGTGACTAATAAATCGGGCTTACAATAAACAACAATACAATTTATCTTGGGAAATTGAAAACATTTACGAACGTTTTTACACCATCTCCTGTTGACGAAAGTGACCACTCCACCACCTCTGTGAAGAAAGTTCACATAAAGATCGCCTCGGAATATGTTAAATCCATCAAGATGCTCGACGTTGTCCTGAATATCAGGATGTAGCCAGCTTTCCTGGAGTAGAATTACTTCTACATTCATACATTCCTTCTGGTGTATCATGCTGTTGACATCATCGAGTTTTCCCATGAATGAACGGATGTTACATGAGATAATAAATGGAACGGTCAAATTATCAACAGAAGGCCGCCTAAGCACCACACGCCAACCAGCACGGTGTTTTTTATGGTGCTCTTGAACAGATTTTTGCAGTCGTTTGAAGCGATTTCTCACAGAATGGACAAAAATCAGAAACTGGTTTTTCTGCGCGATCAACTGCAAGGATTTCAAACATCTGGCGTTGTAGGGCAACATTTGACCTTGAGAATATAACGAGTTGATTCAAAAAGGGTGACCACGCGTTCATCCACTGTAACTTTATGAAATAATATCCCACGAAAACAAAGCAGGACCAAATTCAAGAGCCCCGCTCAGGGTATACTTTTGTGTCTCTGTCAGGGCTCGAACCGCAAACAGTCAAGTCGAGACTTCAAACCCTTATCCGTGAGCTACATGGTCGACGGTTATCGCCTTGCGAGAATGGCTCAATCATGTGTAGAGTATCAAGCTTGGATTAGCCCATTCGATCATTGGGAATGTTTCAAGACTGCCGAAGGCAGACCATGTTAAATCTACAGGGCGAAAACATTTGTAGAGGACATACTATTTGGTTGCTTTGGGGATTGCTACGACTGTGACCGGTCTCTCACGATCTGGGATGGCACATGGGTGAAATGATTCATTTACAATGCAAGAGATTGCCCCAACTTGGAGAGTAGCATCCGATTTGAAGAGAGCCGGAGCTAAACCACTCGAGGGGCCTGCAGCAGATGAGAACTGAGAGAGCTGAACCACATTACAAACAATGTGTTACCAGTAGGCCGGAATCATGACCAATGCGT